CAGTATTGCAACTTAAGGCTTGAATTCTTTCTTTTGTTCTTTCAGCTTGAGAACTGCCATTTGTGTTCTTGCATTTCAGTTTTCTAACTCCAGGTCTTTCCACATTTCATTCTAATAATTTACTTAGTCTTCTTAAGCTGCTCTTGGAAATCTTCTGTTCAGCTCTTTTATCTTGTCATTTCTTCAATTTGCTTTAGCTACTCTCTGTTCAAGAGCAAGTTTCAGAGTCTCTTCTGACATTAATTTTGGTCTTTTCTTCCTTTCTTGTCTTTTTAATGACCTTTGGCTTTCTTCATGGATGATGTTCTTGAGTCATCCCACAATTCCTCTGTTTTTCAGTCATTGGTGTTCAGTGCATCAAATCTACTCTTTAGATGGTCTCTAAATTCAGAAGGTATGTAATCAAGATTTGAAGTGAGACTGGCCAGACTTCTTCTCACCTGCTTTGGTCATGTTGTCAAAAGTGACCATTCCTTGGAAAAGGATATCATGTTTGGTAAAGTGGAGGGTCAACAAAAAAGGAGAAGCCCTCAACAAAATGGATTGACACAGCGGCTACAACAGTGGGCTCAAGTGTGGCAAGGATTGTGAGACTGGTGCATGACTGGGCAGTGTTTCATTCTGTTGTACATAGGGTTGCTATGAGTCGGAACCGACACCTAACAATTTATTTGTCTTCAGTTTCCATGTGAACTTGCATATGAGCAGTTGATGGTCTCTTCCACAGTCAGCTTCTGGTCTTGTTTTGGCTGAAGGTATTGAGCTTCTCTATTGCCTCTTTCCATAAATGTAGTGGATCTGATTCCTGTGTACTCCATCTGATGAAGTCTATTTGTATAGCTGTCATTTGTGTTGTTGAAAAAAGGTATTTGCAATGAATAAGTCATTGGTCTTACAAAATTCTATCATATGATCTCCAGCATTATTTCTATCACCAAGACCATATTTTCTAACTCACGATTATTCTTCTTTGTTTCCAACTTTTGCATTCCAATTACCAGTGATAACACATCTTGATTACATGTTTGGTCAATTTCAGACAGCAGAAGTTGGTAAAAATCTTCAATTTCCTCGCATTTGGCTTTGGTGGTTGGTGCATAAATTTGAATAATAGTAGTATTAACTGGTCTTCCTTGTAGGTATATGGACATTATTCTATCACTGACAGCTTGTACTTCAAGATAGATCTTGAAACATTATTGGTGACAACGAATGCCACGCCATTCCTCTTCAATTTGTCATTGCCCATAGTAGATCATATGGTTGTGTGATTGAAAATGGCCCAAACCAGTCCATTTCAGCTCACTAATACCTAAGGTATTGATCTTTATGCATTCCATTTCATTTTTGACAACTTCCCATTTTCCTAGATTCATACTTCATACATTCCATATTCCAATTATTAATGGATGTTTGCAGCTGTTCCTTCCCATTTGAGTCATGCCACATCAGCCATTGGAGGTCCTGAAAGCTTTACTGGATCCACATCATTAAGGTCAGCTCTATTCTGAGGAGGCAGCTCTTCCCTAGTCGTATTTTGAGTGCCTTCTGACATGAGGGGCTTATCTTCCGGCACTATATCGGACAGTATATCAGGGGTATTCATAAAATTTTCCATTAATATATTAGATAGTGTTTTACTGTTATTCAAAGGTAACTGGCTGATTTTTTGAGAAGTGGAGGGCCCCTTCTTTCTTCAGAGTCTATCTTAGTCTGGAAGCTCCGCTGAAACCTGTCCATCATGGGTGACCCTACTGGTATTTGAAACATCAGTGACATAGCCTCCAGCCTTATGGCAACACACAAACCACCACAGTGTGACAAACTGACAGGAAGCTGTGATGTTATACAATTGCTGCTGATTGTTTTCAATAAATGTCTTGTGAATGAGGCTGTGCACTCAGAGTGAGCCCAGAGTCAGGTCATACAAGCACCAACCCTGAGAGTAGAACTTTCACATGAGCTGCTGATAGATAGGGACAGTCCTCTGGGATGGAGCTTTTGGGGTGCCCCAAACCCATTCTGCACCACACCACCCCCACCCCCAACTGCCAGGCTGCTGGCTGTCACTGCTACCATGGTTGTGAGGCTGTGAGAGCTTTATGTGGCTGCAGTCTTAGCCTCCATGAGTTGGCAAGATGGGTGCCAATAACCCTCATCCCTGGCTCTAATTTTTAATTATAATTAGTTTTTCAAAACTCAGTATTACTTCACTAAATGGGAGATAAGCTTCACATACTACAAGTATAAGGTTAAACTATAAAATTAAAGTGCATGGAAAGCAGAATAATGCCATTCATTTCCAACTGCATTCTGTTGTCTACTGAGGGACTCAAACTGAGCTGGCCACTCTTTGTTAGAAAAGGAGATTAACAAGTGTCATACATAGTTCAGAACATCTTAACTCCAGAGACATCTCCCATGATGTGATTAGAAGGACTGCCTAGGAACTGGAAAGGAACAAGACACCTCAGTATGCCCTCCACAGACTCCCAAACCATCAGTAGCCAGAGGGCAGACCTAGGGACAGGGTGAGCTTCTCACTTGGGGTAGGGCACTGACCTTGTTGCAGCCATGAAAGGGCAGAGTGATTCTGAGAAAAAGGGAGCGGGAGGTTTAGGTCACCCAGAATGGAGGTGAGCCGGTGCAGAGTAGGTGTTGTGGGTGCTACAATTGTAGGGAAGATGGTGTATGGGTCAGGGAGGGATCCATCAGCCAGGCAAGGGGTGGATGAATGCAGCAGGGCATTGTCCTGAGAACAGAAGGACCTTGTGTTCAAAACGTTAGGCTGGAGTTGGAGGAGAGGGTAGGCCTGAAGATAGAATGTCTAGAGTCACCACCACAGAAGTGGCCAGTGCAACAGTGCATGGGGTCCCCAGAGGAGGAAAGGGAGGAGGGAAATCAGACCACTCTGAATTTGAAAGTACATCAGGTAGAGGCAAGAGATGTGGGTGGGCTGGTGTGGAAGCAACTGAAGAAAAAGAGGAGAGTTGCTGCTGGGATGAAATCAGAACAGTCAAGAGGGTGGGAATAAAAGGGCCATTGGCTGTGCCAGAACATGGGATAGTGTGGCTGAGGTGTGCAGGACTCATGGTGGTCACAGGGAAGGGACTCTGGAGCACAAATCCTATCCTCCCAGAGGAGTCTTCCCTTGGCCAGCCAGGCAGTAGGGATTGGATTCTGCAGTGAGACACCTAAACATGGCTGTCACATGTTTTAAAAATGAAGCTCCATCCAGACTTGTAGCACGCATAGGACACCACCACCCAGCACTCACACTTTATCAGTGGTACCTAATGGACCTCCCAGTAGGGGGAGGTAGACAGGGTCATTTTCAGGGGGCCGAGTGGCCATACCCCTCACAATGGCCTGCGATTAGACTTTCAGATCCAGCAGTTCCTCAGCCTCCCCCACCCTCCAGGCACTCGGGGCTGCCCACCACAGCATTTATGACCAGAGTGGACCTCTTGTTGATGCCCATCACCAAGGCCTTACTGAGTGATTGGTGGCCATCCACATGGAGAGACCAGGCAGCCCTTTCAGGAGCATGGCTGGGCAGAGTGCTGGGTAGGGAGGTGGGAAGGAAGGCCTTGAGGCTCTCTTGGGCACACAGGGAGAGGTACACGTGCTGATGCTCAGAAAGCCATGACCCCCAAGAAACTGGTAGGGAAAGTCCAGCTTTTCAGTGCATTTGTTGACCTCTGAAGTTTTACCATGTGCAGGTATTTTGCTTTTGAAAAAATCATTGTGATGTGTACATATAGGTATGTACACAGGTGAGTGTGTGCATGTGGGTGCACATGTGAGTGTGCATATGTGTGTATATGTGTGTCAGCAATGAAACGATTACATACCTGGTTTAAGATAGTATTTTTCTCTAGAAAGTGAGTGAAGGGCAAGATTGAAGGATACACAGGGATCTTCCACTATATTCAAAATGTTTCATGTCTTTAAAAAATGTCTAGATCAAATATGAAAAATGTTAAGATTTGAATCCACAAGGGTGTGGGTACATCTGGTCCATTATTCTCTATGCTTCTTACATATATATAAAATATTTAGCAATAATAATGAATTTTAATTTTAATCAAAAAATAAAAAAGGAGAGGACCTTTGTGAGGGCTACAGCATTTGGTAGGACTGCCCAGGGGATCCTGAACTTAGATAGGAGGAGCAGGTGGTATCTTGAGGCATCAGCAGGGCCCAGGACTAGAAACAGGTGAGTTATCTGAGTTATCTTTTCTCGAGAGATAAACAGGTGCTGGAAGGCTAGGGATACCAGAGAAGTTTTGCTCCAGCGCCTCTGTGCTCTTGTACCTTCCATCGGAGGCCTGCCCCACACCTCTTGCTTCCTCCGTCTTTGCTCTCTGACACCCCTCCCCAGCCTGCATTTATCTTGCACCCACTACCCCACCCTGGCCTCCAGCCCCCCAGCTCCCCAGCCACCTGCTCCCCTAGGCAGCCACTTGCCACCCTGCCAGAGGCCCTTCTGAAGACAGGATCTTTGTCCTCTTGATGTGACCCCAGGTCCTAGGCTGGGCCTGACACACAGAAGTCCTCCAGAAACAGTTGTGGCATAAAGAGCAGGCAGGAAGGCAGGACCAGGAAGCCTGTGAGCTGGTGTGCAGGGGTGAAAGCCAGGAAAGGAAGAGGCAGGAGAGCACACCACGGACTATGGGAGCTGGGCTTACAAGGATGTTTTCCCCCTTACTGCATTTTCCAGACATTTGGTAATGTGTATGGAGTGTTTCTATCATTTTAAAATGTTTTATTTATTTTTTTTAAAGAAGCTATTGCATTGGGAAGTCAGCAGACCATTGATGACCCTGGAAAGAGCAGTTTGGGCTGAACAAGGCTCAAGCCCTCAGGCCTGACAGGAGCTGGGCCAGTAGGGGCAAAAGCACTCCCTCCTCTGTGTTGGTGGGGGGTATCTAAGGGTGTGTGTGGGGCAGCCCCAGGGCCAGCTCACTCACTGGTGGTGTGCCTCCCCCCACCCCCAGCCCGCAAGCAGGAGATCATCAAGATCACGGAGCAACTCATTGAGGCAGTCAATAATGGCGACTTTGAGGCCTATGCGTGAGTCCTGTAGGGCAGACTGGGTGGGTGATGGGCTGTCCTCTGCTCTGCTGCCTGCCCCAGCCAGGGTCTAAAGGATCCCTCCTGACTTGTGCTTGCCCCCTAGGAAAATCTGTGACCCAGGCCTGACCTCCTTTGAGCCCGAAGCTCTGGGCAACCTGGTAGAAGGAATGGACTTCCACAGATTCTACTTCGAGAACTGTGAGTGGTGGGACCTTGAGAGGGGAGCCCAAATGAGCCCTGCCTTTTTGGTACAAAGGGTCGGTCCACCCCACACCCCGCCTCTAGAGACTCAGAACACAAATCACCCTTTTGGCGATCAGGCCCCTGTCCCTTGAGGTGGGGGCAAGGAAGTGTCCAAACCAGCACTCCACCCACCTCGCAGTACTCGCCAAGAACAGCAAGCCGATCCACACGACCATCCTGAATCCACACGTGCACGTCATAGGCGAGGATGCAGCCTGCATTGCCTACATCCGCCTCACGCAGTACATCGATGGACAGGGTCGACCCCGTACCAGCCAGTCTGAGGAGACCCGTGTGTGGCACCGCCGTGATGGCAAGTGGCAGAACGTGCACTTCCACTGCTCAGGCGCGCCTGTGGCCCCGCTGCAGTGAAGGTGAGGGTAGCAGCATCCCAGGGAAGGCAGTGGGGTGTGGTGGGGATTGTGGCAGAGCCATTCTCAGGTAACCCCAGGTGGCTCCCACTGGTGATGGAAGAAAGTCTCTTTTTTCCCCAAATGAAGCTGGAGGAATGAAGTCACATGAAGCAGGATGTTAGGCCGCTGCCCCATCTCATCCAAGAGGTGATCAGGTTGGGTGTGGCAGGGATCCCTGAAGGTTTTAGACAGTTGATGAGGGACTAAATTTCACATGGTGGCAAGAGGCAGGACTCACCTGAGCTTTCTGGTTGATTTAATGGGGTAAAGAAGGGTCCTGCAAGCACAGCCCATGGGCACCACACTCTAATGGTGGGCAAGGGGTAGAGGCAAAAACAAGACCAGCCTAAACAGCCTTATTACAATTCCATGAGAGCAAGTACACAGGTGGTTCTTGCAGTGGCATCGTAAAGTCAAACCTCAGTTGTACAGGAAGAGTATTGTAATTGAGTAATGACATTTTGAATCCCATTTTCTGAGCTGGGTACTTCTGTATACATGAACTTAAACCTCTTTGCAGGGTGCCCATTTTACAGACCATAAAACCTAGGTCAGAAAAGTAAAAAGACTTGGTTAGGAAGGTGGTTCTTGTCCTCCCTGCACCTGCCTCTGCCAGCCAGCAGTGACAGGGCTGCCCTGCCTGCCCTGTGTTTCAGAGCTGCGTGCCCATGGTCTCATCCTGATGGAGTTGGTGTTTGGAGCCAAGCCGCCCTTCAGGGCGCACGGCCTGCCTGTCGCATGTTCGTGTCTGCCTCATCCCCTCCCCTGGTGCCTGTGTCTGCAGAAAAACCAAGACCAGATGTGATTTCTTTTTACAAACTAAATGATGACAACTACAACCACCAAAAAAAAAAAAAAAAAAAAGACATCAGATGAAATGGGGGAAAAAAAAACTAAACAAAAACAATCTGTAAAAATCAGTGGTGTTTGTGGGGCTTTGATACCAACCAGCCACTTCCCCCCACAGCTCCACATATTTGTCCATCCTGCACCTCAGTCTCCAGTGACCAGATGGGGCAGTGAAATTGTCCACAAGGCTCCACCCCTTCTGCTGACTCCCATGTTGAATGGTGTTAGTTTGTTAGATAACACACACACATACACACACACTCCATAAACAAACTAAGGCATCTGCATTCTCTCTGCCAATGCATGGGCCTCTGTAGTGGTGTGCTTGCAAGTGGCTGTTGTGAGCTGTCAGGCATCTCTGGGGATGGGGCCATGGATGTCCCTCTGGGCCTACCCTCCTTTCTCCGCTACTTGTGCCTGAAAGTTGCTGTTGTTCCTACCTGCTTTATTTCCTTCTACCCATCGTCCTGTTAGCCCTGTGAAAGGATGGGTGTAGGGCTTTCACTGTGCCCACATTCCCATCCCCACCCATGGATGATGCACGACAGCAAAGAGCCCAGCCAGCCCCTCAGCCCCTGGAGCTGGCTGGCATTCCTCGCGGGTCCTTGGATGCCACCACCCTCTGGGAGGATGATAGCGATGCAGTGGAGGAAACCAGAAGCAACTCTGGACTCTGCCTTGGGCCTGACTCAGCTTGCAAGACCATCTCAGAAGATCCCAAGGGTCCCAAGCTTTGATCTTTTCTGGCGGGGGGACAGTGAAGTGCAGAGTAGGTTGCACTTTAGTTTCAGACTTCATGTCTGCCTGAGGCAGGCCAAAAGGACACACCCACTGTGGGGAGGGGGCCTCTGCCTGGGGCTGGTCACGTCCTTTCTCTGGCCAAGCCCTCTTGGTGAGCCCCATTCCCACCTGGAAGAAGACTTGAGGAAGGACTGTGGGCCTCATGCCCTGACTGAGCCAGAGGGGTCTAGGCAGCGTTTGCAGTAGCTGAGCTACAGGGTTCCAGGCTCATGTTGGGTAATGCAGGAAGGGGCAGAAGACATGGGGGCAGGTAGCTGTGGGGACACCTAGGTGTTTTCTGAAGCAGTAGGATTCTGCTAACCAGAAGGCTGGCGGTTCAAATCCACCAGCCAATCCTTGGAAGGAAGGTTGGGCAATCTACTTCCATAGTGATACCGCCTCGGAAACCCAAGGAAAGGTCGCTATGAGTTGGATCTGACTCAACGGCAGTGAGTTTGTTTTTTTGGTTTGGAAGCAGAGGGAGGAGGGCCCAGATATGCTGAAAAGCCAAAGTCAGAGCCCTTGGAGCACAGTACAGGAGGTTCTCAGAAATTACCAGGCAGTCAGGAATTAGTGGGGTTGACCAAGGGGGCCTCTGGGGGTACTGCTCCCCAACCCAGGCCAATAGCACCCAGGTCTATAGCCCCTGAATGAGCTGGGCCTGGTGGAGTATGAGCCTGCAGGGAGATTAGAGTCTGTAGCACCTGCCAACCAAGCCCTGGAGGCAGCAGGGACCCATTAGTGGGTAAGAAGGAAGGCTGTGGGCAGGAGGAAGAGTGTGTGGTCAGAATGGCCTGACTTCCTTGGAGATCCAAGGAAGGCCCAGTCTGGGCACTTGGGAGCAAAGCGCAGAAACTGGGACTTGAGGGAGGGATCCAGGAGGGATGGCTGTAATCATCAGCTGCCAGTTTGGTCTGTGAGGAAAGATGACAGGAGAGTGAAGAGGAGGTTGTCTCTCCATGGCCATACCAATTATAAAGCCCTGTGAGCAAAGCTGTGGGCATCGAGTGACCTATGTTGTAGGTGGGCACTGTGAGATGCAGATTAGACCCTTGCAGAGAATGGCTCAATGGATTGACTAGCTGAGGGGCCAGCAAGGAAGAGGCCCCAGACAGGAGGACCCTGCCCAATACCAGCCAGCTTCAATTCAGGTTGCATTATCAACAAGGACATTGTCTTCCCCCCACAACTCAACCAAGGGAGGGACATGGAGTAGGAAGTGGGCCCAGGGTCCCGCACTCAGGGTTGCCCACTGAGGGACACTCAAGAGTGGACATCCACTGTGCCATCCACACTGTGCTCAGGATGGTCAGTGCCCAGGCCCTTCTTTCCTCTGTGGACACAGGGTAAACATCTCCAGGTACTGTGAATGTGAGGCCTTGGGCCAGGGCACTGGTGGACTGGTGGACTTTGCCACCGCAAAGTTTGTTACCGCAGAGCCACCTGTCTGGGATCATTGGTTTTTTGTTTTCTTGTTGGTTTTTTTTCCCGCCCCCCCCGGGGGACAGTTCTTTTGCATGATCTCTAAGGAGAACCACACCTCGCATTGCTACTAGGTGTCCGTGTGTGGCCCGCCTGGCTGCGGGGGCACACGGAGGCCCGCTGGCTGCCCCCATGCTGGCGGACCATCCTTCTCTTTTTGCTGAGTTTTGTCTTTTCTTTCTGAGCCTTGTAAGTGTACAAAAATTCTTATTTTGTTCTGTCTCGGGAAACTGCAAATAAAACAAAAACAGAACAAACTGCTTCATGTGCAGCTGGATGCTTTGTGACAGGACCTGCAGACCCTACCCCACGTCAGACCCAGCACTCCCATCCTGAGGCCCCAGGCCAGTCCTGGCCCAGAAAGTCCAGCCAGTGTAGGGCAAGGAAGGTGAGGCCAGCCTCAGGCCACCCCTGAGGATCCACTCTGTGTAGCCACATTTTACATTTCTACCAGCTGTCCCGACTCCAGACCTTCCCAGTCCTCTGGGTTGCGCCATCTGGCCTGCACTTGGGGATTCGAAACTACAGTCTTAAGGCTCTCACTTCTGCAGTCATTCAGTGGCTGTCTCCAGGTGGGAGGAGCTCTGATCCCTGATTAGGCCTTGACTGTCCTGCTGAGTTTCTCATCTCAGCTATGCATTTGACCTCTGTGCACCAGCCACGCAGGTCGGATACACAGTAGATGTGCCCATGGGGCCCACACCTTACATCCTGTGATGATGACACACCTACTTGTACAGGAGTCCGAAACAGCAGGGATAACTGCATTGTGGACTGACAGTGGGCGGACAGACAGAAGGCAGCCTGGGACCAAGAGAAGAGGGAGTAGGGGATGAAGATATTCAAGGCAGTCCCAGAGACCAGGCAGTGGAAGCCTATCCCTGGCTCAGACTCCATCCATTATCTATGATCTGTCAACCCAGAAGGGCTATATTGTCCAGTTGTGTCCCTGACAAGTAGGGGACCTCAGAAGCACCCTGCTTGTCCTGTGGTATCTGGGTTAGTGCTGCTCTGATCCCTGCCCTCTCATCCACATGGCATCCAGGCTCTGGGCCAGGACAGGCCCTTATACCTCACTGCTTTCCTCGGACAGAATGTGGGCTTCCAAACCATTCCTAGACCAGCAAACTCCTCCTTCATTCAGGTGGTACCTTGGGCCCATCTGGGCCTGGCCAGTCCCACATAGCTCAGTGTTGTCTGTATACCATAAGCAGAAGTAGCAGTTTGAAGGACCTCTGGAGTGGAAAAGTCCCAGAGCAAATACCCTTTGCAAGGCCCCCAACAGCCCAGTCACAGGGAATCTAAGACAGAGCCTATGGAGGCAGTGGTGTGTGTCCCGTTGTCCCAGACACAGCACTGAATCTAGGGCTCTACTTGCCTATCGCTGTAATCAAATGCAGCCGAAGCAGCTTTTCCAGGCCAGACTCACTGGAAAGGGAAGGTGCGAGTGTGGCAGGGGGTACCTCCTGGTTGGAAGTCCCAAACTCTGCTGTGGAGTGAGTTCTTGTGCAGGCATCATTTCTGGCATTTTTCTATTTTCTATAGATTACAAGGAGCTCTGGTGGTGTAGTAGTTAAACTATTTGGCTGCTAAACCAAAATGTCAGTGGTTCAAACCCACCAGCCACTCCAAAGATGAGACAGCCTGCTTCCTTAAAGATTTAGTCTTGGAAACCCAATGGGGGTTTGATTCAATGGTAGCTGTTTGTTTTTTTTTTTTTTTTGCCTCCAAATGATTTTGAGTTTTGTTCCACATTGTTCGCCCTTTTTTTTTTTTTTTTGGTCTACAGACTATAGACAAGGTAGGAATCAGTCTGCCACACCCTTGGGCTCAGCACCCCAGGCCAGCCTTGCACTGGGGGGAGGAGTCAGTTTGAGGTATTTCATCAATCAGTCTTTTAACTGTAATTCTCTTGGGCACAGCTCCTTATGGGTACCCTGGCAGCCTCTGAGCAGAAGCTGGGCCTGATGCAGCCCAGGCTGTGTCTGGGCCAGGCAGGGGCTTCTCTGGTTTCAGCCCCAAGTCCAAGCTACCAACAGGTCCCTAGGCCACCTGTCCAGAGCTGCAATCAAACAAGGCAGACTCTCACAAGGGCCTGGCCTTCTAACTGGTGAAATAAGGGACAAAGGAGTCAAGCTTTTTTTTTAATCCCACCTTCATGGAGCAGCCATCTCAGCTCTTTACTGAATGCAAGACCAGGTTCTGGACTGCATTCTGACCTGCAAGATGGGCTATTCCTCTGAGGTACTTTGCAGGGCCCAGCCCCCACCTTGCCTGTGAGGGAGTCTGGTGAGGTTTATGCAGAGGAACTACTGTGTACAGGTCTTGGGCAGTAGCTCTCTAGCTATCTCAGGGCCCCAAATGGGTTTCCAGGTTGTAGCTTTCAGCTTCCACCAGAGAACAGGATTCAGCGCGACTCAGGGCTCCCTCATCTGGTTAATAGCAAAAACAAACAAGGGTTCCCACCAGAAAGCCATAAAGATGGCCATCTCCCCTGCCTCCCACCCCCAGTATCTGCCTGCCTGACCATCAGCCAGCAGTGAGGCTCTCAAATGGGCCTCCGGTAAAAGCCCAGCCAACATAGCCAGAGACCATATTCAAAAACCAAACCACACACACAGAATTTCAAAAGACAGATTTATCCAGACAGTAACTTCACAAACAGAATACAGAAAAAAGTTAGGCAGCAATTATACACTCTTTGTCAAATGATTAGCATATGAGAGAGACCAGCAGCACTGCACAGCAGCCTATTATATAGCCAAGTGGCCTCAAGGGAGCAGCCCCCACTCATGCTGTTCAACAGGACTCTCCACCTGATGCAGGGCTGGCACAACCTTGTTCCTGAAAGGCTGCAGATAAGGATGACAAATCTCATGCCTGTCCTGCAGATTCACATCCCTTGCTTGCCCCCTCGCATTCCTCCCCAGTACAGAAGAGGAAATTGTTCCTTTCTTCCCAGTCTAAGAACTGAAATGAGACAAAACCCCACTAAGGACTAAAGGCGAGGTCAGTGCCCACTTTCAGGCACCGGGGCTCCAGTGGGCAGGGCTGGGTATTCTACCTCCCAGAATGAGAAAGGAGAAGTGTCCCAGGCCTGGATTCAATGGCCTCATGGCAGTATGAAAATTACACAGGTAGGCAAAAGGCCTTTGGCCAGCACAGTAACCAGAGGACAGATGTCATGCAAGCTGCTAGGAGCTGGGGTCTCAGGCACAGACCAGGTTCCACTCCAGCCCACAGTCAAGGCTGGCTGCCTGGTACTTCTGCAGGGTAGGGCAGAATGTATCAGGTGATCAAGAGCCAACACAGCAAGGGAGATAACCTCAAGGGAAGGTTTGAGACTATGCCGGTTCAAAATTTGGTGATGGCACCATTCCAGCAGGGACTTTGTGAGGACAGGATCCCAAAAGTATAACTTGAGCTTATGTCCTCAAAAGCACAGCAGAGCATAAAATGGGCAGTCTAGAACATGGCACCAGCGCCTGGAAGGCCTCCTGTAGGACCAAAGGGACTTCTGAGGCCCAGGAGCCCAGACCACACCTCAGGCTCCAACCCTCATAGCTGCCAAGAGATGGCACAGAGCAAGCCCTTGACAGAGTTCTTCAGGCCAGCCAGCCCTTCTCCTGAGCCAAGGAATAGGGCAGAAAGGGAAGCTATAGATGCCTTCCCACTTATAAAGATGTCCAGACCCCAGGCATTTGCCAAGAGTCTGGCAGCCAGAGAGGCAAATGAAAACCAGGTTAGAGAGACTATAGGACACACTGCTTTGATCTAGATGTTCATTGTAAAATCAAATTACAAGTCAAAGCAGATGCCACCAGGGCAGCTCCAAGGACACTGGGTTGGAGTTCCCCTATAGATAACTTCCAGCTGACCACCCCAACGACTGAAAAACATTCCATTTTCCTGGGCCTAATTTCCAACCTTCTGGCTGGAATGGGTCACTGCCTGCACAGTACAGCAAGGCATCCCTGTTCCTCCAAACACCTCCACTGAAGTCATCTTTGTGGTACTGAATGTAAATGTTACTTGGGACAGACCCTGCCCTCCACAGGAAGCCAATCTTCACAAAACTAAGAACAGAATGGCTGTCTCAGCAATCCACATTTATCCAGTGGCTACCTCCCTAGAACACCTGCACCAGCCTCCCAGCCACTGACCACCAACTGCCCCATGGCCGCACCCCTTGACAGACCATACAGACACTGGCCCGCTGCCCTGGTCCAGCTAGTGTGGCCTGGAGAAGCTGTCCCAAGAGAATGTGGTCTTCAAGCTTGGCCCCAGCCCAAACTTATAGCCCCATTGCTATCAAGAAGCACCCTCCTGCTTGCTGGAGTGACTTTCTTCTAATGTTAATATAATTAATATACAAAAGGGTCAAGAAATAATTGGTTCTGAACTTCCTGTAGTACTCTGTTTAAACCAGAAACCCATCAAACCCTTCCTGGGGGCAAGAGGGAATCTGAGAACTGAGTCCTTCAGTATCTATAGGAGTCACTGAGTTTATGGTTTCATTTGGTGCAAAAATATGCCTTTGCAGGCCTCAAATTATCTTTCCAGAAATTATAACTTGATGTATAAATTTGAACATTCCCCTATCCCCTAGATCCCTTCCACCACCCTCCTCAGTTCTCCTGGGAAATTTCCAAAATGGAAAATTGTCCCCAACTCTGAGCCCTGTTCTGTAACAATTTCTTCTTTTCCAGGCGCATTACAGTTCTCGTTGTGAATGACATGACATTTCCAGTGCAGGGGTCTCTGCTGACTGGCATCACATGATTGCACAGCAGGAGTTTTGTTTCCGGGCCTTGTAAGACACAAAGAAAGTTGAAAAAGGAGGATGCAGGCAGGCGGAGTGGCCCAGCACACCTCTCCTAGCCCTTCCACCCACCCCTCAAGTACACACAAAGGAATGAGCTCTGCTGGGAAAGGGGAGGCCTCGAGGCTACAGTGTGCATGCAGGGGCTCCGGAACCCTTGCCCCCTAGTCCCGTAGCACTAAGATGAAGGGGAACAAAGAGAACTCTATTGATCTCCTCGCCTCACCAAAAACAAGGTAAGCTAAGGTTTTCAATGTGAATCCTGGAACCTTATCCCCCCCCCCCCCAATATCTATTAATACAAACTACAAGTGAGTTAAATTCCTGCTATTAAGCCAGGTATAAGCTAAGAAACAACAGTGCAAACTGAATTGGGTGAATCCAACTTTGTCCCACTTTTGCCTTCCACCAACACTCCCTACCTCAGACAGCTGTGTTTACCAGAGGAAAATATTCACCAGGAAAGACATGGTCCCTACTTGGGTCCACAGGTTACCACTCTTACCATGTCCTTGGTTGCAAATACAACCCTAATCCTGCTTGGCCATCTCCCTCCAACACAAATGCATGAGGGTCGATCAAGTAAATCAATCCCTACTACTGTTCAAGCAATGGATCAACAGTTATTCTTGCACAAAAAGGCTTTCTTATTGACCCAACACTGGGTGATCTAATTCCGTAGCGATACTGCCTTGGAAACCCAAAGAGGGATCGCTATGAGTCGGATCTGACTTGACAGCAATGAGTTTGGTTGGTTTTTTTTTTTTAACTGACCTGTTAAATTAGCAGTTTGAATAATCCTTGACAATAAAATACTATTCCTAAGGGGAATTAATTAGGAGCCTAAAGTACCTTTTTAGAAAGCCCTTTTTACTGGCATCTTAAGGACTTAATCTTTGACTTCAGTAATCAAAAGTCAATCCAGTATTACCTTCCTTGGGAAAGGTGTGTTCTGAAACTGGCATCAGGTCAGGGGTGGAGTAACAGCAAGGTGTAAACAGTGCCTGACCACACCTGCTGTCCCTCTTGCCTTTCTGGAACCTGGAGCTAACCACCCTAGACTTTGACACTGCACAAAGGGTGAACACAATCCATTGTTATGAAACAGTCTAAGATTTGCTGTTATGGAGGGTTCTTCCAGAGACAAGCACACCACCAGTTTTGTGAAGGGATGCCCAGTAGAAGCTCAGGGTGGCACTCACAGTTTTATAGAAGGCTTTAGACTGTGTTCCCAGCACTTCTGACTTGGACACCAAATCATCTAGCTTCTCACCTCGCTCTAACAAAGACTCCATGGTGTTGTGCTGGGCAAAAGAAAAGAAAATAACTCTTTTACTCTGTTCAATAAGTGGACATTGACATTAGCCTCTTGTGGAAGTTTCAGTCCTAGAAAAGCACTTCCTCTGGGCCTGTACCCAATACAGCTGTACTATGGCACAAATGTCACCTTCTAGCATCATGATTCAGTTCAAGGATTCCAGATTTGTGCATGGAAAAGGACTTGGCTGATGTTGCTGTAAAATCAAAGAAGGTTCTAAATGGGATGTACTTCCCCAAAAGAAATTCTCCACAACACAGGATTACATAATTACCACTCCAGAAGAGTTCTTTGAGAACAGAAATCAGTGGGTAGGTACTATGTTGTGAAGCTATGATGGATGACAGTAGCTATCAGTGACAACTGGCTACTGAGAACCTGACATGAGGCTAGTAACCATTGAGATATTCCATCATTGGATATCAGATTTCAAAGATTCAATAGGGAATGAAGTATGTAAATAATTTCATTAATATAATGTTATATATTCATTACAGGTTGAAATGGTAATATTGACAAATACTGGGTTAAACAAAATAAATTACTAAAATGAATTTCAACGATTTTCCTTTTATCTTTTTGAAACATAACTCCTAGAAAATCTACAATGGCATGTGTGGCCCCATCAGTTCTACTCAATAGCACTGTGCAGAATCTCTCCATTCCTCTCAAGGAAGGGCCATGATGAGAGTTCAAAGACTGTAAGGGCTTAAACCCAAAGTGAAAAGTGGATATTTTTCTATGTGCCAAATGTAGCACAAAGCACAGAAGCAGCAGTTACAAATCAGATTTCAGGTCAAAATGCTGGGTCCAGCTTTTTTACTAAAACTGGCATACCTGGTGACTCTAGGCCTGTGTCACCAGAAACACAGCTGCCCTTCTATTGGTACAGATACCTTCCACCTGACTCCATGCTCAGATGAGGTGCCTGCCTGGTCCCTGCAGGCATCTAAGTTTGTGTACTTAACAAAGGCACCAGTAGTGAGAATAAAGTGCTTGAAGCCTGGTCCAGATATAAAATGGGTGCCATTAACCAAGAGAGGAACAGGAGAGGGTTGAAGTTTGAGGGATCTAGTACTTGGGAGAGATGGGCTATAATCAGTTTCAGAAAAGTGCTTTAAATACAAAAAAACAAATCTCAACTCTCCATCCTTGATCAATGTTAAGTCCCTTAAGCCCTAAGTCTTCAAATTTGCTCTATACCCTTCTTGCTTACCAGAATGATTTTGGTCTCATCTAGTTCAGCCTGCACTTTGGTCATTGGGTCAGCATCTCGGGGATTCTGGGAAGAAGTCAAAAATAAGAGTAAATCAGGACTGGATCAGCCACTTGGGAAACAAAAGCTCCAAAGAGAGGGTGTAGGATACTCTGTACTATAAAAAGCAACACTTATTTAAAGACACAGCAGAGATAGAGCCCACTTCCAACTGTAGAGTCCCAGGTTTCAATGCAGAGTTTCTACATTTTTCAAATTTGTTGTTGTTGTTGTTTGCCATGGAGTCAGATCCGACTCTTAGTGACCCCTCCTTGGGTTTCAGAAGATTGCCCAACCTTCCTTCTGAGGAGTAGCTGGTGGGTTTGAACTGCCAGCATTCCAGTTTGCAGTCAAGTGCCTCAGGCGCTATGCTACCAGGGCTCCTATTTTTCAAACAGAAGGTTCAAGACAGGGCACCAGCAACGGACTAAAAGGAAGTTACCAGAGCCAGAACTCTCAGGGCAGTTGATGTTTTAGTCGCACATTAAACCCAGTGCATACTTTCCTCTATGTCATGTTTCTTTAAGTCCCACCTGATATTTACTAAGGTGATCATCCAAGGCCGTGTAATGGATTGTAGCAGGGGATCCCACTGGCCAGTCTATCCTGTCAACCTGCTTGGAGAACTCATCTAGTACCTGTAAGACAAAGGATCTTCATGAGCAAGCCCATCCTGTGCTTACCCATGCCCAAGGCACAGGCTGGAATCTTGAGACTCTCACACTAAAAGAGGCACCCAGACTTCCCAGAGCCCAGGGAAAAGATCTAATGGCAGAAGAAAATCTAGATTAAAGTTCCCTTTCCAAAAAGTTTTAATCATTAAGCATATGCTAAGTATTCTTGGGATTAAGAAGTATACCCAGGCTGGGATTAGTTATTTGAATTTTAAAATTACGCATTTCCAACTTTTATCAGATGATAAATTTACAGGAAGAAATGGGCACTCACTCTCTAGTTTTTCAAAGTAATTCTTCAGAAAGCGAATTAAAAAAAAAAAAAAAAAAAAAAACCAAACCCACAGCCATTGAGTCTATTCCAACCCATAGTGACCCCCACAGGGTTTCCAAGGTTGACTATAAATCTTTACAGAAGCAGATTGCCTTGTCTTTCTCCCACACAGCAGCTGGTGGGTTTCAACTGCTAACCTTTCAGTTAGCAGCCCAATGCCTTAATTAACCACAGTGCCACCTGAGCTCCTCAGAAAGGAAATCAGACCCTTTGAAATTAAGCAACCACTGGATTCATGTGGAGAACAAGACAAGGTCTCTGTCTTCAAGGAATTTGTGATCACCACACACTTTTTAAAAAAATCAAGCGTTTAGTGCTTAGCTCTGTGGTGGTACTTGATTATCTAGGAAGAGAGCTACGGTAATTGTGGAGGCCCCATGCAGAAAGTGAGATTCAAGTTGGTCAGAAAAGAGGGCACTCAGGGGAAGGTAGACCCTGGTCTATACTGGCAAAGCCTGACAGAGGGCAGGTGTGTCCCCAAGGCAGACTGTGGGACCTGCTGTGATCTAGAAGACAAATGAAGGCCAGTGTGGGGTCCTGAGCTAGACTGGGAAAGTATGGGGAACAGAATCCTGAAGGTGGAGGCAGAAGAGTCAGGAAGTGGGGCCATGTACCAAAGAATGACAAAAGTGTAGGCTAGAAGGGAGACACAAGGATACAGGAAGTTGTATCCAGGGGTTCCATTTCAAAGGAAGAGATACTATATGATTCAGTAGCAGGCAAAGGTGAGAAGAAAAACAGAGCATCTAAGGATTCTTATCTGGACATAGGTAGTTTGAGGGGCAGATATTAGCACCAGGGAGAGGACTGGGAAAGGGATATCCAATTGTTTCTTAATGGACGAAAAGAAGAAAAGCTGGTAACGTGTTGATTTTAGACACAAAGTCTATAGTATACAGGAATGTACTTCATCCCTTGTGACTCAGGCACCATGGTCACCCTGACACCACAGTCCAGTAATGCTCCCCACTCAGCTTGTCCAAGTCCAACCCAGCCAGACACAAACTCACCTTCTCTAGCAAGGTAAAAGCCACCCTGGAAGGATATTCACTGTCAGCAATGACCACACCTGCAAGGCTGTCATTTCGGACACAGACGTGGCACAGATACTCTAAACAGCAAGAGATCGTACACAAGGAAGGTGACATGAAAGCATTAGATTTTTTCAAACCATCAAAAATTTGACAAAGCATCACAATCCTGGACTCCTGATTTTAGGACTGAATGTAGCCACCTTGACCTTCAAGGGGTCTCAGAAGAGGTTTGGGGATGAGGTTTTAGAAGAGGCTCTGCAGCATGGATGCTCCACAGCATGGCATGTGGAACACACATAGCACCAGAACACTGGCATCAATCTGGCCCTACACTGGTTTATGATCAGTAAATGCTCATGGGCCTGGATATACAAAGCCAGAATCTAAAGGAGCTGCTAGTGGTGCAGAAAATACACCCAGAGCAACACACCCTTGAGTGGATTTCTAAGTCACATCCTTGAGGTCAGTCCTGACTATGCTTCAGGGGACTGTAGGCCTAAGAGGCACTACTCTACACTGCATCCAAACTCTGAGGGAACCTGGACAAACAAGCAGCTTCCACTTTCTTTAAAAACCATCCCAGAGCAGCAAAAAAGGAAATCATCTTCCAGGGCCTCAGGCTTCCGTTCTGAAGCAAGCCTACTCAGCCTGCTCCAAAGACAGAAAAACAGATAAAGCCCATTATTAGCCATTACTGGTACAGGTCTCAAATGTTACTGTGCTAAAGTCATCATAGGATCAAAAGGTACAGTTTGTACAAGTACTTCTGTGAAATATTCTCTCTATAGTATTGTTAATTTTCCTTACTTTGAACAGATTCAATTATTAACCTTATCTATACACAAAGTTTATAATTCACTAGTAAGAAATTTCTTGTCCTTAAGAATCTTATCCAAAAGATCCCAGTGCTAAACAATGACCTAACAAATAAAAGATGAAAAGAGATTCTGAATCCCTTATATCAGAAAAGGGCAGAGACTAGAACAGGACAAGGAAGGGGTGAGGGGAAGGGAGATTATGAGATTATCACCAATGTTCTCCAGACCTTGTTTACACTCCCAAATAAATAAGATTCAAACACGGACAGATAAATGCACACTGCACAGAAACTGGGAAGGTGAGATTAGTGACCAAGGAAAGCTAAGCTGGGAAAAGCAGACACAGTCTAAGGGAGAACTGAGAGAATATTTGAACATTCATGATTCAGTTTCATTTATGTGACGTATACAATACAGAGATCCTTGTTGTTGTTGTTGTTGTTATGTGCCGTCGAGACAGAGATCCTAGAATATGCATTTTCAATACTGCCTTGCCTTATAATTGATATTTATATTATCGATACAGTAACTTTATATCACACTGACTCCAGCCCAGTACAACCATGTGTGAAATAGTCTTTCTGTTTGACAAAGTTCATGTATACTTTCCAGTCTATATAAGACTTGTTTCTAAAATAAGCACCAAAAAATTCTTCTAGGAAAATGAATAATGAAGAGGAAAAACTAATGTTTTCAGATTTATAGTCAAAAAAACAAAGAAGCCTAAGATGCAGTGTTACCTTGACATCTCTAGCTAGAAATGCTTTTCTGAGGATACTACAACTTTGAAGGGAAAGGGAGGAATATAACATGAAGGATATTTACTGATCCAAGAGAATCAGACCTTCATCTTAAATAAGTCCAAGGTCTGGGGACAATTTCACCCAGGAAGCCCAGACTTCCACAGGGGCACAGAACTATGCACAGGTAGCAGACGCAGTAGGAGGGGACAGAGGAAAAGCTAGATGAGGACTAGGCTCCTGTTCTCCCAGAAAGCAGCCCTCTCCCTCATGAGGTGACAGTGCATGCTAAGGGCATCGTGTGGTCTGCATCATGGCAGCTGCAGCCAGCCAAGTACTCAGAAGATGGCTGCTCCTTACCTTGTTCTTTGACAGATGCTCTGCTGCCTTTCACTGAGCGCTCCACAATCAGCTGACTTGTAAAGGTCATGAATTCCTGAACACTAAGAAACAGAGCACATATTACCTTCTTTCTGTCACCTTGTCTCTTAACACAATGGAAAGTGACCTCTGGGTTTATATATTAAGAAGACATTTATACTTGGCTTCATTCTTTTCCCTCCCAGCCTTCCCAACAAATAATAAAAGCTCAAATACTGGTAATCACCATTATCCAAACCACATCTTTTTGTTACCTAGCTCACCCAAACAACCCATCTCTCCAGACTTTTGGGATATTTTCTATAAGCTAAAGTCAGTTTAATGTTCTGGTCAGAGCATTATATGAGACACAATGGAGAAGGGGGCAGCTCCTACTCTCAATGCCCCATTAACAGCCAAGAAGCAGGAGAAGTAAAAACTGCAATGGAAAAAACACAAATGTCAACAAATTTGTTAAGGTGATGCACAGCCAGTTATGGCTATACCAATACAATGAACACTGGCAAGGCCACTCACAACTGCCTTGAGTGCTGGCTCTGCCCAAGTCTGCATAGAAGGCATCTAGGATACTGGAAAGAATGGAGAGAAATGGCTTAGCCAAGACAACAAATCAAAAAAACCCAAACCCTCTGCTATCAAGTTGATTCTGACTCATTGAAGTTTCCGAGGCAGTAAAACTTTATGGAAAGTAGATTGCCCAGTCTTGCTTCTGTGGAGCAGCTGGTAGGTTCTTTTTTGTTTTGTTTTGTTTTGCTTTTAAACCTTCTGGTTAGCCGTCAGATGCCTTTAGGCACTGTGCTACCAGAGCTCCAAGACAAAGTGGGAAATGGCCTTTGGCAGCAGGAGAAGGCTCATCATGGACCTAATAGAGAGATCCATGCAGAATGGAGCAGTCACAAGTGAGGGTCCAGCCAGAGAAACAAAGAGGTCAAAAAAGAGCCTCTGACTGGGAAGGTGACATAAAAGGCTGCTAGGGAGCTCTGGTAGCATAGTGGCTAAGACATTTGCCTGCTAACCAGACGGCTGGCGGTTCAAACCCACCAGCCACTCCTCGGAAGGAAGGTTGGGCAATCCTACTTCCGTAGTGATACTGCCTCGGAAGCCCAAGGAGGGGTCGCTATGAGTCGGGTTTGACTCGACGGCACATAACAACAACAACAACAAGGGCCCATCAGCCACTCCTCGGAAAGAAGACTGGGCAATCTACTTCGCTAGTGATACTGCCTCGATGGCACATAACAACAACAACAACAGGGCCCATCAGAACAGGGTTCTCAACAGCAGGGCTTCCGCACCTTTGTCAACTCCCTGTAATTGCACTGAAAGACCATGTAGAATTGTGAGGAACCCTGATTCTGGAACAAACTGACACTGCCAGGTTGTAATTTTGGGCAAGCTACTCACTGTAGTGTGCCTCATCTATAAAATCAGTATTTGTTGTGAGGATTCAGTGCAAAGCACTGAGCACAATGGCTTGCACACAGTATTATTACTTGTTACTACTATTCTGAGGGATATGATCAAAATAATCCCTTAGAGATGAAGTCCCCTAAAAAAGACGACTACGCAGTAAAACAAAAAAGAGACAGTTTAGAGCAAGACTGTGCTTTGACAAAAGAAGAGTTGCAGCAATTTTGAGAGGCTGCACGCTTGGGGCATTGTAATCATGGTGCAAGACATCTGGAAATGAGGAGGTCTTACAATGAAAATAGTGAGTTCAGTTGGAATACATGTTATTTCAAGAGATCCTAATAGAGATGTCCCCTTACAGTTGTAGCTGTGTTAATCATCTGAAGCTGTTGTGGGTATCCCAAACCAAGGAAATAAAAGTCCTACAACAAGATCTCTGAGAATTTTAATATAACTAATGGGCAGGGAAAAAAGACAAAGAATCACAGGTAGCCAAACTGGCACTAAAAGTTCCATTCGAGAAAAACAACAACATAGAGCAGAGGCTAGATGCCATGGTAAGAAAGGTAAATATCAAGAAGACAGTTGCCCAAAAGGAGCAGAAAATTTCAACAAAAAAGCAACAGAATCTTTTTTTTTTTTAAAGATTCTGCCTGCAAACCACTGGTAAAGCACTCTCATCAAGAACAGTTTCACTGAAGCAGTAAAAACTGAATCCAAATGACCAATTCCACCAGAGCTATACAAGCTAACTATAGATATTGACCCTAAAGGGGTCCTTCTCCTACTGTACCTAAGGAATCCTACCCCCTCCCACATATGGGCTGAAGTTCGAGTAGTACTTCTAATACCAAACTCACTGCCATCAAGTTAATTCCAACTCACAGCACTCCCCATAGGGTTTCCAAAGCTGTAAATCTTTATGGAAGCAGACTGCCTCATCTTTCTTACGAGGAGCAGTATGAACTCCTGACTTTTTAGTTAGTAACCCAATGCCTTAACCACAGTGCTACCAGAGCTCCTAATACTGAACGATAAAACGCACTGCGGTCGAGTCGGATCCGACTCACAGCGACCCCTCCTTGGGTTTCCGATGCAGTATCACTACAGAGCTCCCTAAAATTAAAATACCTGGAAACAACATTCAGAAGTCTGTAGCCCTACAGAGTCAATGCTTCCTTCTAAATCTGTAGTGCTGAACCAATTTGTACTACCACTGTCTAGCATACAATTTAGGCTTGGTTTCTGGTGGTATAATCTCTTGAGGCCTCAGTGGCTTCACCCATAAAATGGAGATTACATATCTCCCATACTGAACTGTGGGACGCCCCAAGAGATAACAGCAATGTAGCTTTCACGTTACAGCACCAGAACTACTTAAGTCAGATTCACTGGGTGGAAGACGTTGGCTAAAATACAGATTCCTGGGCTTCAACCTACTGGTTTAGAACATCTGGGCGTTAATCTTGGGAATCTACACTGTTTCAAAGTCCCCTTATAATTTTTATACAAGAAAAACTTGAAAAACACTGAGCACGAGATAATGTTCTAGAACGGAAGAAGCCTTTTATGCGCGACAAGACAATGATTTCTCAAAGGCACAATTCGGAGACTGACTGAGGAGGTGGCCACACTAAGATCCACTGTACGAGGCTTCCCTCGCGAACCAGGGCCTCCCCCGTCACCGGGTCTGCAGTGACCCGGGCCTGCATGCCAGGACCCGCTCACCTGGACCTCTGGAAAAAGCTGAAGGAGGACACATCGTACGCAGCTTTGAGCAGCACCGCCTTGGGCTCGCCTTTGTAGAGGACGCTGAGACTGTAGAGCTTCATGGCGCCGGCGCCCTCGGGCCACCCTCAGACCGCGGCACCGGTTCGCAGGGAGCAGCCCCGCCACCGCCGCTCAGGACTGCCCCACCACCGCGGCCCCTCAAGCGTCGGGTGCTGACGGGGCCGACACCGGTTTCCTCCTCCTGTCTCGGGATCCACTTCCGGTTCCGGTACTACCGTAGCCGCCCGAAACCTAACGAAGG